TTGATTGGGGACAAATTTGCCCACTCTCTCCAGCGCACTCTCTCTTTCTCTTCCTGCTTTTCTCTGTGAAATCTGGACTTTCCTTTAAGGCAGCATTGCTCCCGCATTGGCCAATAAATTCGCATTAGCATTAAGTTGCATAAATATATCATAGGGAAATCTGTTGGAATTTATTGCTAGTGTTTTAAATAAATTTAGAGCGTCACTTCATAAATAACTCCCTCTGTCCGGCGTTATTTAGCTCCGAGACGAGACTATTAAAATTTAATTCCCAGAAAAAAGAGGGCATTTATTGAAATTGAACTCTTTGCTCCTGTTCCTGTTCCTGCCCAGTCAAGCCAACCAATCATAAATCATCTGGTCAGCTTCAATACAGGAAAGGACAGTACAGGACAGGACACGAAGGCGAGACAACAACTGCAAGCAGCCGAGAGAAATAGCACGAGAAAAAGGAAAAAAAAAATGGTCCTGGGCCCATTACACGCTCACTTGCTCAGATAATTGTTGATGGCCAGTCCTGTCCGGTGAGAGATGGGCTGTGGGAGTGTCAGTATGGGGAAGAGACGCCTCCACATCTTCCTCAGAGTTATAAATCATAATGAAATAGTTTCTGGGGGAACTCGGAGAAAGCTTTTATTTTCGTAGTCAAATCGCCAATCGAAATGCGCACCTTTGGAGATAATTCTCAATAATTAGAAGCATTCAAGTTTAAGAAATCCTTTTAGCTGACTTAACAGATAGGGATAAATCTGGTCTCGGGGCAAAAATTGAGTTTCGCCTCTTGTTAATAAATCATAAATTGCCCTGACATCCCCATGGCCTTGTCTCGTCTTCTGCCTGTGGATGGCTGGCTCTGCCTTCCTACTGATTGCAAAAGTTAAATGAACTTAAAGTTTTTTTTCGTGTTTTTCGTGTTCTTTGTGTTTTAAGCGGCTTAGCAGGGCGCTTTGACTGTGCTACGCTACTTGTGCCCGAAACTTGTTCGGCTTTGCATATTGATGCGGCATTAGGTGGCACAAGTTGCGGATCTGTTGTAGCAACAAGTCCCGCTGTCGCAACTATGTATGAAGAGCTGTGGCAGGGAGATAAATTCTTCCTCGCACACGCACTATATGCCGCCTTGAGGCAGGCTGCACATTGACATTCAGATGGCATCCGCATCCGCCCCAGATATAGATGGGGGCAAGAGATACAGAGTGAGATATTGATAGGAGGAGGATGTGGCTGTGGCTGTGGGAATGGGACTTTTATGCCAGCCATAAAATTGCCGCCTGCATATCGGTTTCGCTCTGTTTGGCCATTAGCTTTTGTTTTATTTTATTATGCCTGGCACTCGCTGCTGTGTCACTGCCATTTCGGCCATTTTTGCCACAGCTTTGTGTACTCGACATTGTTATTTTTGTTGTTGCACTAAATCAAAGTGTCGTTTGACTGCGGCATGCAAAGGCGAGGCGAGCAAATCAACCATTCTGCCATCCCCTGCGAACAACCAAAGGAGAGGGAAAGTTTATTGGCATTCCCGATTTTTATGGCCTCATTTTGGCCCCTTGCATAACAATTAGCCAGACTGATTCGATTCGATTTCATTTCATTTAATTCTCTCGTACTATAGCTTTTTGTTCACATTAGACTGCGGAAACGGTAAAGGAAAATAATCAGAGCAAAACGAGTGGCACATTAGCAGTCACACATGAGTGAAAGATATTATCTTTCTATAAAAAAGAACTGCGAGTGTCCTGAATTAAAAATTGTAGCCAAGCTAAAAAAGATTATACCATTAATAAATATCAACGGGCTTCTTCAAAACTGTGCGGCAGAGATTTTGTACATTGCACGACAAAAATTAGGTTGAAGACCAGGTTGAGTAACTAGATGCCATCCTCATATTTCAAATATGCAGTATACCCCTAAATCTTGAATAGAAAATTGAAAAGAGAACTGTATCAAGTCAAATTTGAAGTTTTCTATAATTTTAAACTGTTTTTTCGCCATTGTAGAATCCCCCGTCACACAGAGTCATCAAAATCAGGTATTTCCAGGTGGTGTTCGGGAGAGGCTTGGCCACACTGTTTGGCTACGGTTAACTTGTGGTGGCTCTCTCTCACAGTCGGGTCTCCTGAGAGGAGACTTCCAAGCTTATTGATTTAGTTAATGTTTGAATGTTTTCTAAAACGCAAATACTGGACAGGCATTTTCCACTCAATGGCACTCAGCTACAGCAAGGACCACGTTCTAAGATTCTACGATTCTCTCTGAGGCAATTGAAAAGGCAAATGGCAAGAATAAATGAGCAGGCACATTCTGTTTCTAAACATAAGAGTATAATCATACACAGAATATTCTTATAGTAATTTCATGCACAGCCAAATACACTGAGAATAATCTTTTGCTCCGAGATATATTACTGCATAAATTGTATGCACAAAATACAGAAAAGCATTAATGTTATCATTTTCCATAGTTTTCCAATGGACAGCATATGTACATATGTCCAAACTAGGAATACTCGTACAAATATCAAATAAACAACAGCGCAGTGAACCGCGAGAGCTGGTAAATGTGCAAAAGTACACAAAGAAAAAAGAAAATAGGAATAACAATTTTGCGCAGACGAAAAACGGATAAAAAATGGGATGCAAAATAAAATAGAAATATTTAACGGAAAACATAGTATGGGGGACTTTTTTGTACGGATTGTGTTTGGCCCGTTGCACGGCATTTGCATAGAAAGATTCAAATTAAACCAAAATGTGCAAAACGCTGTGAATGGTGCCCCGCCCCCGCCACAGTACTTCTATCTCACTTGCTTTATCTGTCTGTCTTCTGCATTTTTTTTCGGCCATCTTTTTGTAGCCATATTGGGTTCTGGCTGGTGCAACAAATGAAATGGTCAAATAGAAGCAGGACAATGAAATCGCCAGCTGAAAATGAGCAGCCAAAGCAGTTGCCAGAGAAAACAAAGAGAGAGAAAGGGAGTGCGAGAGGGGGTGATAGAGAGTGCAATCGAGTGCTTAAAGTGTTCGTCTAATGACAAAGCAAATTGTGTGTATTTGCACAAGAAGAGCAGCAAAAACAGCAACAACGACGACTGGCTGAACAACAGTCAAACAAACAAGCATCCAGGAGCAATCATTGGAAAAGTTTTTAAAGTTTTCTGCAATTTTCCTGAGCCATGAGCTGCCGTTGCAATTGAATTAATCATGGGAAATTCCCCTGCTCCCTGCCAACCACAAGTGGAAGCAGCTCAACCGGAACTTAACTTTTCAACACTTCTTTCTTCCTCTCTCTCTCTTTTCAGTGGATGTTCCTGGCAGTCCGATTGTCTTGCTCTCTCTTCAGAGCTGCTTGCATTCGGAGGCATGCAACAATAGCAATCAGCTATGGTTAATTGTTGTTGCTGTTTCTGCTGCTTAATTAAGACGTTGTCGACAGTTTGCTGGACTGCTCTCATTCACTCTTCGCCCATCCATCTCTCATTCTTCCTCTCCCTCGGTTTTATTTCATTGGCATCTGTGCCTGCTCGGCCATACCATTTTTTATTTGCACCTTCGACTCTGGCAGCTCCCCTTCAGCACCGCAATCGGCTTATGTACTCATCAGCCACCAGACGACGGACACGTCAACGTTAGTCTTGCAGAGAATTTAATAATCCTATGCTTTTTAATCCCAAAAATGGCTTATACATTATAGCATCAGGTCAATCAAATAATGAGGTATTGTTGTAATCCATATACATATTGAATTCCATTCGTTTCGGTTCCATACAAATTTCTTTTATAAAAGGTAACAAATGATAGTTGCCTTCATGCCTTCATCCATGTTTCCATGGATGCACGAGCCCATCGTCTCTTTGTTCTGTTTTCTGTCTTCTGAATTGGCTTGCATGCCGCTGCCACTTCCACTGGTGTTGCCATTGTCTACGGCTTGAAGTCCTTTCTGCGAGCCCTCTTTGGAGATTCTGTTCCGTTAGTGACGCCGCCTGCATTGCTCGAATGAAAATTTCGATGCCCTGTTGCCTTGTGGCTTGTCTTCGCTCCGTGTTTACGGTTCGAAGAACTAAATGCCAACAGTTTTCATAAATCTGCCACTGGACGACATCGTCAGCTCTCACTCTCACTCTGGCCCTGGCCCGGGGCCCCTGCTCCATCACATGCGCCTGGCTTCCCACGAAGTTATCTTAAGTGCTCCGAGTGAAAGCTGTCAGTCGTTCTGTTCTCTCTTGGCCAGGATTGTTTGCTTGTTGCCTGCTTGCTGACTTTCGACTCTTACTCAACTGTCTCTGACATGCTCTCAAAGATAAACAATTTCCCCAAATGGTTATTTGAATTAAATTGTCAGTCTTCTCCGGCGGAATGTATCCGTCTCACTTGGACCCAATACTGTACAATAACAATGATAGTCAATATGTATAGACAAAGATGAATTTTATATGCTCTGGTACAGGAGCTCAATAGGTCAAATACGTAGTTTTAAAACACACCGCATCCAAATCAGAACTGTTTGACGCACAATTTTCGAAAACGAAGCTCGTTTTTGTTTTCAGCTCGTAGGAATTTGATGGTAATTACTTTCCATTAGCCGACCATTGTGATGCTAAGCAAAACTTTCAACTTTCGCTGCTTTTGGCACAACATCACAACAAAAACGGACTGATTGGCCAAGGCTCTGCTTCATAGGTGGCAACACATCATATTTTATGGCACGGCATTGTGTTGGCAGCTTCCAAAAGTGCCGTTGCTCGGAATCGAATCGAGTTGGGGAAACCAGTTCTCAGAGACAGGGGGCTGTCCGTAATATCGACTATCTCCAATACTGCCAGACCATGTTCACCGGACCTGGGCGCACTGTGTTTTCACATTCCTAGAACATTGTTGATCATGAATCGTCAATGCAAATTAGGTGGGGAGTGACCCAAATGGAATGGCCATAAAATTGGTTGAGAGGTCTGAAATCGGTTTAGTCGTGGATAGAGCCAACGCCTAAAATATGTATTTGCAAGCATGAGACTGTCACTGCTGCTGCTGCTAATCCAGTTACTGGCCCTCAGGGTCAGAGGTAAGCCTTCCTTCCCCTTGCGTTCCCATTGAGTTGCAGGGAAAGACTTTCAATCCCATTCCTTTCCAGGAACTCCTGCCAAACACTGGCGACGGGCCCCAGCCCATGGGGTTTTTAATGTGGATCTCTATGCGTACAACAAGCCCAGGATGAACCTGGCAGGCCATCAGTCTCGATCGGGTCCGGCTCCGCCCATGGGTCAACTGCTGGAGCAACTGTCCCAGCACAGTCGTCGATCCGCCGTCCAGAAGTCCCACTATAGAAATCTCGATGATGCTGCAGAAGTTTATTCGCAGTCCAGGTCGAATGGAATGGAGGAGCAGCACAAACAAGCGAACAAAACAATAGAATCCCAGATCGTAAACATGCAATTAACGCCGTTGCAAATGAATTCAAGTCTCAGCAAAGCGCACGCACATGAAAATTTATATTCGAGCGAGTTCCAAGTGCAGAATATAGGGGCCAAGAAAATTGTGCAATTGAATACCCTGTCGTCCAGCCATGAACGTAAACCAGTCCGAGAACAAGTTATGGGCCTGGAGCAGGAGGTGCACCCATTGAAAGTGGAACTGGCACTGCCACAGCTGCCCATAGAGGAAGAGGAGGAAGGGGAACAGGTGAATCAACACAATGGGCCAGTAGAGTCCAACAGAACCAATGAAGAACAAACTGCCTCCAGCTCGACGACAACGGAAGCCTCGGTAGATTTGACAGCTCCTGCAAGGGAATCCCTGGCCAGTGTGAAGAAAACACTAGCCGAGCCGGCGAGCCAGACAATTATCGATATGGTATCGACAGGAATGCAGGAGATTGTCAGCCAGCTGACAGCGGAGAATGCCGATGACAAGGACACAATGGGTCATCTGGTCTCCGAGCTGGTCCATCATTCCGGGAGGAACGAGACCGCTGCTAAGCGCACTCAACTGAAGCCCAAGCGAAAGCAAACAAAAAAAGGAACAGTAACAAGAACAAAAACAAAAACACCTAATGAAATTGATACAAAGATGACGGCAAGCCCAGCAGTCACTCTTGTTCCAGCTTCAACTTTTCACACTGCTCCAGCTCCGACACATCCAAGTACAAGCTCATCGATTGACAAGCAGAAGCCAGTGAAGGAATTGGAAACACAATCACTGGAAATCAGCACGCGTCGTCCTGTAAGAACCAAGGGCAAAGGCAAAGGCAAGGGTAAGCGACGTCCGGGTTCCCAGCGGCGTCCCTCGACCACTGGCATGCAGGAGGAAATTGAAACTACGACAAATTGGTGGCAGATACTCCCATATGCGGAAATTAGAACATTTTTGAATACGATTTATGATACAATCACCGACAACGACAACGACAACGATGCCGATGAACGAGCCACGGGCGCTGCTTAATACCTACGGGGTGGGTATCAGGGGAGCTAGTGTTTATAGAGGGTCCTGCAGGAGGTCGAATCGAATTTCCGCCGGGGCCCGCAGACACTTTGGTTTAACTTTGTTCACTGATCAACTTACGAGTATGTCTGAAATGGGATTTGATTAGAGTTTTATGGGGGCAACAATTTGCAATAAAACCGAATATGAAGATTGATGAAACTTTTATTGAACACTGTATTTTCCAATAGTCACAAAAACTCTTGTGTATTCGTGCATACTAAGAGACACGAGCAGAGAGGATCAAGTGAGATGATGAGAGCTGTCCTCGCACGTGGTCCTTGGTGTTGCTGAGGCTATGAATAATAGTGTAAAAGCATTATTCTAACATCAACAAAATCATAAAGCTTGGAAGTCGGTGCTGCTCTTAGAAGATCCGAGTAAGACAGAATTGAAGCCGAGAGAGAGGTAGTCGAATTTTGTCGAAGCAAAACTGAGAAGCAGCTGAGCATCGCTCTTCCAAACAACACAAGGTTCTTGTTATTTGCGTGGTTCTATGGATGAAACTACAAATGAAAACCTGAAAAACCTAATAATAGAAACCCGATACAAACATATTTACATCTATCTGTATGTACATAGTATCCTTCTTAGCGTTATTATTAATCATAATGATAGAACTCTTCGCACCATCATATAAATTGAATTGGGGATTAGATGTGACAACAAAGATGACGACTTAATTAGCAGCTCGCTGTTTAAAAAGCCATCTATTAATATTTGAATAAGTTAATAGATTATGCCGTCACGGTTACGGCTTACTTTACGCCGAATAAAATTCTAACAGACAGCTTAATGGGCATCAGACGACCCAGACGTAGACGCTGACCCCACGCAGGTTAATGTTGAAAGTCGTCGAACGGCTTCCAGATCGGGCTAAACGGGTCACGCTGTGCTGGGCTGCCGTCAGGTAAAGCGTAAATTCAACCGACATTAATGAGCTGGGAATTTTATTTATGGCTGCGGCGGAATGGATATCATTGACAAACAGCTCTCAGTAATTCTCTGGGCCCAGATTAATTGGCCTTAATGAGAGATGATTATTTGAAATGATTAAAAAATATTTCATTTTTGTTTTGCTATTTATTGCCAGTTCTAAATTTATTCTGCATTTATGAACTTATTTATTGAAAGAAAAGCCAAACAAATTTCTTTTTACTTAAGATGCCGAAAGTTGATCTTCGTCTGAGCTTCCTTTTCCCGCGCTTCTCCCGCCGCGGCTTTGGTTCAATTTGGGCCACCAGAAGCAGTGGCGCCAAGGAAAATACCTGTTCTGTGGGTGTGGAAGCAGCAACAACCTCCATGGGCGATAGGGTGGTGGTGCTGACGGTTGACTCCGCGAAGGATAACGGAACACTAAAATGATGGCCCGAGTACAAATGTAGTTGCCAGTCGCACAGTTCCGGAATCAGGCTGCACCTAAGGTTGGCGTTGCCGGCTATAAGCTGCACTTGTGTCAGATTCAGCGCCGGTATCTGCTGCAGTGCCTCTTCCTGAAGTGCAGGCGTGGCAGAGCTGGACCGTGCCACAAGGTAAAATAATGACAGCAACGGCCACAGGAAAGCGATTTTGACGAAGCACATTTCAGTTTTCAGCTTTACCTACCAGAAGCTCATGGAGCTCGATAGCGACTGGGACCAGGTGCGAGAGTCGTGGCGATGGAGTGGGGCAACTGAAACCAGTTTGGATGAATTGATCACAATTTGTGCTGGCATCTCCGACATGCCAAAAGAATTCCGAATGACATTCCGATGTCCCGCAATTTGTGGGGTATATTGGACCCAAACAACATCATAAAATCAAAATATTTTCGGAGTCCAAGCGCAAAATATTTATTCGGCAATTCGGTCATATGTACGGACGGTATTTTGTATACTCTGCAGTTCCTAGGGAAACCTTTGCCACGAAGGTCTTCGAGTGGGCCCCGACATAGCTCCGATGGTTTTACTTTTAGCCAAGGCAAGCGGATACTCTGACTCAGCCGGGTAGATGAGCAGCACCGGTTTGCCATTTCTATTTGTGAGACGAACGAACTGCGCCTCCTCTGGCTTCATACAGAGCCGGGGATAGTGAAAGCAAAGCGACGACACGGAATGGGCCTCTGAGGTGATCGTTAGCTGCTGCTGCTCAGACCCGAATTCAGTGTTCTCACTTAGAACCGTTGGAATCCTATTAGCATCGTCGCCCAGATCCACAGATTTCACTTCTTGACAAAGTGGAAGGTGGGGATATAAATCGCACAGAGAAGGTTCTTCTGGGCTTAATGTTGTTATCACATCAGGTTCAGTTGGATTTACTGTTGGAATTGTTGGAATTGTTGTTGGTAGTGTTGACCACGGATATGGTGGATAAGGATAAAGCGGAGGCGGAGCCGGATGCTGAGGCGGAGGCGGATGCTGAGGCGTCGGCTTGTTATTTTCCTTCTTCTTTTGATTATTGTCGTCTCCATTAACATAGCCTGAAAAACGCGAGATAATATTTCCTACATTCCATACGGGTATTCGAACTTGAACCTCGTGTCCATTTGACACCAATGCGAACCAATCTGATCCGGCAAACACAAGCCAAATAAACGTGTTCCCTAGCAGCAGCATGGTCCCCGCTTAAGTCCAAACTGATGCAGAACTGCGATTAGCACCTTTATATATACACAGAAAAAGCCTTAAAGAAATGCAAAATTTTCAAATGGAATTGCTATAATGAAAACAAAGGGAAATACTTAAAAACTAAAAAGAACAGCATTTAATGGCTCAATCATCGAACCCGTTCTTAGTGCTTCCAACTGGATCCAAATCAGGAAAAAAAACCACACCTCTTCCATATTTGACCTATTCATATATGACTTTACTGATTGTTAGATCATTTAGATAATTTCTGAGACGATATTTACCAAAGTTATCCAATTAAATGATAAATGTGAATTTATGAGAATGTCGTTTTTGATGCCCAAATTGTGTACAAAAAGGTCTGATTGGTTGTTGCTAAAAATGGCTGGACGAACGAATAAACAGTGGGGGAGTAACCGACAGCGAGATTGGAGGAGGATCTTAGCACTTAGCTTCCCTGAGAGGTGTTCCTTTCTCTATAGATTTTTCTTCTTTCTATAACCAAAAGCCGCGAAAAAAAATGTATGATATATGAACAAAGCTAAGTCGGAGCTTGATCTTTGTCTGTTGGATATGGAAATGGGTCCGCTTTCATCAGCAGCAGAACTCTCCGAGACTTAATCAGAACTGAGGCCTAACACCTGTTTTTATTCAACAATAATCTCTGATAAAAACCAAAACATAAGAGATGTTAATCGATCTATTCTCGAACATCTGTTTTAAGTTGATCATTGACGACATTTTAAATAAATCTTGAATACCCAATCATTCCAATCGACACAGTCATCAATTTCATGACACCATAAATCTGTGATAGTTTATAACTAATTTCCAAAATATTAGACAGATTATTAGATAGATCAATCGATTTTAGCTGCTTTAATAAATAGTTGATTTATAATCTGTGATTCCCAGTCTTCTTAATTAAACGATAAACATATTTCCTTTCCTGCGGCCTCTGCCAAACTGATCGTCGGGTGGGGCGCAAACTATGGCGTTGTATTCCGATGGCCCGTTTTGAGGCTGCCTTGGGCGGTGGAGGCAATTTTTCCCGACCAGGAAATATAAGGAGCATCGGTTTCCCATGGCCATCGGTTAGACGGACATACTGCGCCTCCTCCGGTTGGGCACAGAGGCGAGGATAGTTGTGACACAGTGAGGACACGGACTGGGGTGGCGATTGCACTGTTAACTTCTGGTCAGGTTGGAGATCGACATCGGTTGCGGCCTGGCCATCCAGACTTAAGACTGTCGGGGTCCTGAGTGTAGAGCTTTGGGAGAACGAATATGTACTGCAGGCTGGCAGATGGGGAAAAAGTGCGCAAATTGGATAAGCAGTCGGTGATTCTAACGATATACTTGGTTCTCTATGTCGATTGGATAATGCAACTCCCGTAGTCGAGGTTCCTGTTACTGAGGATCCCGTTGTGGTGGATCCTGTTATTACTGAGCTCGAAGTAGTGGAGTTTGTTGCAGGAGAAATTGTTGTGCTGGTGGATGCCTCAGTCGTTGTTGAAACTGAACTCGGGGGGGCTGCAGTTGTTGATGAGCTCGAGGGGGCTGCAGTCGTTGATGTTGTAATGGTTGTAGATATTCTGGTCGTTCTTCTTGGTCTTCTTGTTGTTGTGGTTTTTCTAGTAGGCCTTCGAGTTGGTTTGGGCCTTGGCCGATCCGGTCGAAGGGGTCTCTGTGGCCTCAGTGGTCGCAAAGGCCGCTGAGGCAGTGGACGAGGAAGAGGCGGCAGCGGATCTACTGGTACGAGATCACTTGATGAATATAATCCGTACTCCTTTTTCTTTTTATGGTATTTCACAAGTAACGCATTGTAATAATCATCCCAAGGAGCAGAAGCTTGAGTCTCCCGCGGCATTTGCGTGGTACTTGGTGGATTTAAAGCGCTTGAAAGTCTCGAGTACAGGTCAGACACATCCCAGAGAGGAATATTCATCCTGAGAGTTCTCTCAGAACTTTCGCTCCATACTGGAGAGCTGACAGCCAAAATCATAAGAAAAGCTCGCATTTCGATGCCTAGATCCGAACTGAAACCAGAGCCAACTGGAAGAAATGCTTTTATAGAGGCTTCTGCAAACTAATAATAATGCTGATGATTATGCCCCTGGGCCATTTACAACACAAGAGCTCTACAGTTAACACAATTGTTCAACTAACTAGTAGTTTGTATGGTCGAATACAATGCCATTCAGAATTTTATTCATATTGTTTGAGAGAAGCAAGATACAGCTAATTTCCTTGCATATTTGAGTATTTCAGCATTATGAGCAATAATTGTTCATAGACGAGAAGCTGCTTCTCTGATGTGTCTCCTTATGGCACGCCACAATGTTGGATGATCCTGGGAAGATGGTCGTCCTTCGATGATGGATGATATTAGCAAGAGTGGCTTTCCAGTCCCATCCGACAATCGCACGAACTGCGCCTGTTCTGGCTTCATGCACAGACGGGGATAGTAAAAACACAGCGAAGTCACAGAGTGAGGCTCCGATATGATCGACAACTGCTGATCCGGCTTCAACTCAGCAATACCCAATCCAATATTACCACCTTCCAGGTGAACAGTTTTTGTTCCTTGGCACACCGGAAGATGAGGAAAGGTTATGCAAAGGGAGGATTCAGTTGTTGGTTCTACATCATCTGCGGTGCTTCCAGTATTAGGCAACGCTGTAGACGTTGTTAAACTTCCTATTGTGGTGGAATCTGTTGGTGGAATCGCTGTAGATGTCGTAGAATCTGCCAGCGTCGTGGAATCTGTTGGTGGAATCGCTGTGGATGTTGTTGAACTTCCAAATGTGGTGGACTCTGTTGGTGGAATCGCTGTAGATGTCGTTGAATCTGCCAGCGTCGTAGAATCTGTTTGTGGAATCGCTGTGGATGTTGTTGAACTCCCGAATGTGGTTGAATCTGTTGGTGGAATCGCTGTAGATGTCGTTGAATCTGCCAGCGTCGTGGAATCTGTTTGTGGAATCGCTGTGGATGTTGTTGAACTTCCAAATGTGGTGGAATCTGTTGATGGAATCGCTGTAGATGTCGTTGAATCTGCCAGCGTCGTGGAATCTGTTGGTGGAATCGCTGTGGATGTTGTTGAACCTTCAGTTGTGGTCGATATTTGGCACACTGGAAGCTGAGGAAAAACAGAACAAAGCGACTCCGTTGTGGTTGATTGTGGTGTTGAAGTGGGAATCGCAGTCGATTCGGTTGAAGTATACGTTGTGCTATATCCTTGGCACTCTGGAAGATGAGGAAAAACCGAGCAAAGACTCATATAATTAGTTGTGGTTGATTGTGGTGTTGCAGTGGTTGGAATTGTAGCAGGAGCTTCGGTGGTGGTAGAATAAGCAGGAGAAAATTGTCCAAAGACTCCGTATGGGCCATACTCCGCTTGATTCTGGTAAAAGCCGTTCCAGTAGTTGTTATAATAGTTGCTCAGATATTCGTTAGCTGCGTTCACTTGGTCGATCTCGTTGCTTGACCCAGCGGCAGCGTTGGATCCTGTACCCGTAGGTGGCGAGAACAAATTCCCAAAACTCCACACAGGAATACGTATGGTCAACAACTGGGCCCAGGCCTGGCCAGCGAGTAAGAACAGCAGTAAGGTTTGAAATATCATTCTAAGACACAGATTATTCACCACTCCGGTTAGCCAAGAACTGAAGAGGCAGCGACCAGATACCTAGAGCTTTATACAGCCCACTAAAGTCGTTAGAATAATATATCGCTCCATGTGAACAGAAGAGTGGAACGCTCGTATTCTTATTCAATGATCGTAAACATCGAATATTTATTGATGGTAGCGTAGCCTACAGTTTAAAAAGTAAATCAAACCCACGTGCAAGGGCCATGATCGTTTTCGAGCCTTAGAAAGCCAGAAAGACAGCCAATAAAATTTTTACTGAATACTTTTTTCGTTTTTGTTAATTTAGTTAGTCGTTTTAAAAGCACGATAAACATAAGCCATTCCTCTACTTGTTAGCCTCTAATCCAAAGTAAGGACTTGGCCGCGATAGGCGATGGTGGACAGAGCCGTATGGGATATACACTGCCGATGTGTCTGCTGCCGATGTTGCTGAGGATGAGGCTGCAGCTTGTACATTGTTCGGGTTTGAGTTAATACGGTACAGATCGTAGGGACTGAGGAAAGTGCCTGGAACGTAGTGAAAAGGTAGAGGAGTGGTGCGGAACCTTTTTCCTCCGACTGCGTCTGATGTCATGTCCGTGTTTACAGTTGGAAGTGCAGTGGAAGTTGTGCCAGGGTCCGCAGTGGATGCATCTGTGGTCGAACTTGTGCCAGGGTCCACAGAGGGTGCTACTGCGGTCGAAGTTGTTCCAGGGTTCACAGTGGGTGCTACTGCGGTCGAAGTTGTTCCAGGGTTCACAGTGGGTGCTACTGCGGTCGAAGTTGTAATCGGCGTTGCCGTGGGTGCGACTGCGGTTGAAGTTGTGATTGGTGCTGATGTTGGTGCAGGTGTTGGGGTTGTTGTTGGTGCAGGTGTTGGGGCTGTTGTTGGTGGTGGAGTTGGACCAAAAGGACCACTCGGCCCATAAGGACCATTGGGCCCATAAGGACCATATGGCCCATAGGGACCATAGAGCGCCTGATTCTGGTAGAAGTTCTGCCAGTAATTGCTGTAGTATTCATTCAGGTAAGGATCGTAATCATCCTGAGCATCGTTGCTACTGCTGCTGCTGCTACTAGATGATCCTGAACTTGACGCAGAGTTAGAGCTGCCTCCCGTCCCAGTCAAAGCGGAGTAGATGCTACTTAGGCTGTATACCGGGATTGGAATACTGATTGACTGGCCATAGACTTGACCAGCCAACAGGAAGAGCAGACCCACGGTCTGGATGATCATTTCGATTCGAATGAGATTCTACGGCGCTCCGGTTCGTTTAGAACTAATGTGACAGCGGCCAGACACGAAGAGTTTTATACAGTTTCTCAGGGTGTCGTAAATTGGAATTGTGCTCTTGGCCATCAAAAGATCGAACTTGAGATTGGTCCGAGAGGGGAATCGAACTGGGAAAGAGATCCATTTCACCGATTTGAATATTTATTGTCTTGATGGGTGAAATTCCAGAATTGAAAAAACACGACCAGCGCATATCTTAGTAGACTAATGACCCTTCAAGCCCTTCTATTACTAAACATCGCTAATTCGCCAATCATCTCTAGTTTATGAATAAATTAACTTTATTGGTTTGATCTCAGCCAACTCGGTGGTAATACGAGGTGTACGGTCTATAGTAGAGGTATTGCTGGGGTTGGGCACGATCCACCGCCACTGGACGCGTGGTGGTCTGCTGTATAATCTTATTCGCCGGCTTCTGCTCCACCTCCAGGTCAAATTTGATGCGGGAACCATTCTTGAAGTCTATGTAGTCATAATTCTCATCACTGTCCGCTTCGTTGGCATATTTCTCAACCGATGGGCTCCGTGTGGTGCTCGTGCTGGTGATGCTGGCTTGAGAAAGAAAGTCTGCCAGCAGAGCGGGGGAAATGCTGTTTCCGCTAGCACCGCCGGCGGACTGTTGGAGGCCCTGCAGGATTCCTTGCAGAAACTGCTCGCGTATCAGAATGTTTTGCGAGCTCGGCTCTTCTTCGGACAGGAGGGGCGCTCGGGTGGAGCTGCTGAGTGGCGTCTCGTCTTGCGGCCTCCTAATGGGAATCCCGGGCAGGGCACCAACACCACCGACCTGTTGTAGGGCCGTCGGATAGGCCAGCAAATACAGCCACGGCCCTGCAGTACGGGACTGTTCCGCCTCCAAGCGAAAAGCCCACGCCTGACCTGACCGTAGACAGCCCCAAGCTAGCAGACCCAGTAGATACTCGATCAGATTCATATCGAAACGCGTTCAGCGACCAACTAAGACTGCCTGGCTATTGGGTTTGCATATTTAGCACATGTCTGCAATCAGCGATCCGCAAATGCTAATTTCGGATCATTAATAAGTTGGACGCTGGTGAAATCGATTGTCTCTCTCTTCAGTTTCTTTCCTTTCACGCTTTTTTAGTCATTTCACTTATTTAAACTATATAAGTTTATACTATTTTTATATAAGAGCAAAGCCAAGTGGAGCTTGATTCTTCGAATTTGAGTAGACTCACTCACGCACTACTACAAACATTCTGGCTCAATCATTTGAAATATAATGATCATACAAAATATGAGATGCGAAAAACGGCGAAGCATTTTATTACTCCGCATAGTTCCTTTAGCTTATTTGGATACAAAATAAATTAACAAAAAAAAAAAACAAAAAGGTTTCGCAAAGTAATTTTTTATTTCATAGTCACAAATATCAGTTTAGACTTTCAGCCAGAGTAGCTGGTCTCGATCTGAAATGCAGATTGCTCCAACATAATTGTATGATATTTTTTCAATGCTTGAATCCACTTACATCCCAGTCGTCCTCGTAAAATGGCATTCTTAGGGTTTGGGTGTTCATCAGCATGACCTCACCGGATCTAAGATTCCGCATCAGAATGCGACGCTGCTGATGCCGCCTTCCTGCGGTCGCCCGCCTCCGTGGCAGCATCACGTGAGTTGGGTTCAATTCATGCAGGTTTTGTTTTTCAGCTAGGGCTCGACCCCCGAGGGTCAGCACTTGGATGTTGGGTTGTGCTGGTTGTCGGAAGAACCAGTTCTTTAAGAGCGTGCGCAGCGGTGTGTTTACGTTGCTCTGAGTGGGTATCGTGTTCAGCTGAAAGATGCCACTGCCGTTGCCCCAGGGACTGATCACTTGCACGTCCTGGGTGGTTGTGTTTGATTGTATGGTAAGATTCTTCACCATCTCCAACCACCACGGATAAGGGCGGCCATGATCGGTCGAGTCGAAGATCTGTACGTGGCTCCCATATGGGTTTATGGCCTGAACGTTGTCGTTCAAGTGTATTTTATTGATTTGATAGATTTGGCCAGAAATTGAGTTGACTTGAAACAGCAGAATGACACAAAGTGATGCGGCCAACATGTTGAAGATAATCCCACAGTTCCAGAGTTCAAGTACCAACTAATCGTAAAAGAGTGGGCAGTTCGACCTTTTATATAGTCAGAACTCTTCGGCTTATCTGAGTTGTAATTAATGGATCAGTTTTTCAGTCAAAGATGTCGGCCTGAGTCACTTGTCAATGTCAATGTGGATTCCAAGCTTCTGTTAATTTTTGAAGTGTGTATATTTCGCGAGAAGTTACCAATATTTTGGAAAGTCTAATCAACATATAATCCAAATCGAAAGCGAAATCTTAGAAACATGTCGATCAAAGAGAACAAAAATTACACTTTGATTCCACGAAAACTGTATCATAATCATTCTTCTGAATAATATCTATGTGAAGAATTGCTATATTTCTGTTATTACCGCCTATGAATGAATATGAACTCTCATGATCGATCATGCCAAAATTCACTTCTCAATTCCCATAAAATTTAATAAGAAACTTTGATTTTTTCTTGCACCTGCTTTGAGGGCTGGAGTGGAAACCAGTTGGGCATTAAGAAATGCAAAAATCAACCAAAACATAACCGTTAGACTAATTTCAACGAAAAAAAGCCGCAGCTACGACTATATTGTGGGGCGTGTTCTGAGCTGATTTTAATAGCTGAATTAATTTGCATGCAAACTTGATGGCTTACTGACGAGACAGTTTCTTTATGAGGTCTTTTGAAAATGCTTTCAAAGTGGGTTAATGTGTTCAGTGGATCCATGCGATCGATACTGTTTCTGGAAATATAGCTCAGTGGAGCTTTTGCGGCTAGGATAGTCAGGTATAAATAGCTTATTTCGTGCGATCTGTCAATCAGTTCGCAGTGAACATTTCACACCATGCGCATCAAGCTGGCTCTATGCCTCTGCCTGGCGCTCTGCGGAGCACTGGGCCTGGCTCAGGACGAGCCTGTCGTCGAAAAGGAGGAGCTGGAGAACAGCGCAGAGCTGAGCAGCATCGAGGAGAACGACGCCGAGCATGACTCGTCCCTGTGGAGGAAGCTGTTCGGCACCGGCGACATCGGCAGCAGTGGCAACTTGGTTATCACCTTCCCAAGCAGCAGCACCACCACTACTAAGAAGCCCAAGACCACGACAAAGAAGCCGCACGATTCATATCCCAAGTACCCTCCCTACTACCCTCCGTACTATCCTCCGTACTATCCACCACCTCCTTATCACGGGTACCATCCTCATCCCGGCTGGGAACATGGCGGTCACGGCCCTGGCGGCCCTGGAGGACACGGTGGATACGGGCCTGGTGGGCCTGGAGGCCATGGAGGCCCTGGAGGCCCCGGCGGACACGGCGGACACGGGCCTGGCGGCCCTGGAGGCCCTGGAGGCCCCGGAGGTCACGGGCCTGGCGGCCCTGGCCATCATCACACAACAACAACAACTACCACAACAACTACAACGAAGAAGCCTGATCATCCTCACCATCCGCATTATCCATATCCACCACCGCACTACTATCCTCCTTACCCGTACTACCCACCCCCACCACCACCTCCACCACGCCCACCACCAAGCCAAGACTCTGACGAGAGCACCGAAGCCCCTGCGAAGCTCTGCAAGAAGGTCATTCCCTTCGGCATCCTGTGCTTCTAAGCGCGCAGCTTTCCATCGCGATATTCCATATAGAATGAGAGATGAAATAGTAAATACCATATTTATTTCTAATTTATTAAATGAATAAAAAATTGGCACACAATCATCAGAATATTTGCTTCTTGAACTGAAACGAGCTATTCAATGTAATATATTTAATTTTATTTTGTTTAATTGGATCGGAGTACTGCCCTAGATCTCTTCGATTTTAAAGTTCTGTTCGTATTTAAATTCCCCTCCACACTCGTATGGAGTGTCTCAGTCCAAAAACCAACCAAATTGATTTGTGATCTGCCCAAATCAGGATGAGTTTTTAACGCCATGTTCGACATCTGGTGTCGCCATGGGGCGTTTTGGAAATTCATCTGTAATTGACATTGACAGCCTCATTAACATGATTGTTATAACCAGACCAGACCCGAGAGCGGAGTGCAGGGCAAAGGCAAATGTAACCCAATTTAAGCTTTTGTGCTCGCTAGTGATTAACATTTTGAAATCAGTTCGTGACGCACATAAGTTATTCAAATTTATGATTATTCTCAGATGACAAAGAAATGTGTTGGCAGGTGAGGATGAAGGGAATTGGAGGCATGTCTCATTAAACGAGTAAAGATGAATTTCGATCAGTAAAATAGCCTATGTCTTTTAACTAATAGTAGGCCTATTTATTGGACTCTTTTTGTGCGCAGACATTCTGGCGACACTAATTAAATGCCCGCCCACCATTACTAAATCAAAACAATTCCAAAGCAGGACAAACAACAGTCAAAAGATGCAGATACTCGTACAAAGGCCGGGACAGGACGAGACAGGACCAGTTAACTATTTCCCTCTGTCCTGAGGGGTCGGGTCGGGTCTGTGTGCGTGTTCCGAAAATCGTAAATTCTGGATGTTGTTAAAAAACTTTTGGCAGAGGCATAAATCTGCGGCCAGCGAACAACAACAGCGAGCGAACAGAAGCAGCACTGAGAAGTCAGTTCACTAACGAGCCAAAATCGTTGACTGGAAATCCTTGAGCAGGAATAATGCCTATAAATATGCTAGGGAATTGTCTGTGCCCCTTTGTGGGATTCAATTGAGTCGGAGGCAAAACTTTTACCCAACCAACTGGAGGTCAACATCGTAATTTGTTTGTGCCGAATATGTGGTGGAAAAGTTCGTGGTTCGGGGTGTGGTGGAGCGTTCTTCAAAGCCAAACGAGGCTCAAAATTACCACTGTTTGTGCGCGCTCGAGGCGATCTATCTGGCAAATCGATGAAGAAATATGTATTGCCTCGGTAGCTGTAGCTCCGGCTGATTATTTGAACAAAGAAGGTAATTACGCATTGCCACCGGGGCACGGCAAGGGGCAATTACACGCAGATTACCACGTAATTTATGAAATATGCAAGGGCCAAATGAAATACTATAAAACAGAGCCCCAGACCAGGTCTCTCCCATAAATATGCGAGCCGGCTTAGCCGGCTGCCCATAAACTATGTATATACGAGCATATTCTGTTCAAATGTAAATACGAGTATGCCCCATGCTGCTTCTGCCTCTACCCCAGCCGCCTACTTCACTTGACTCTCCTGAGCCTGGCAACCGTTGCGTCGCGTCGCATCGCGGCGCGTCGTGTCGCGTTGGCGGAAGTACTTGGAGCGGCGGAAATACAAATGAAGTTAGTCATATCAGTGGAACTTACTTAGCAAACATTTTTATGGTCCTTCGCATTGGGCGTAGAACTTTTTGGCCTGTCTAAAAAACAAAACCGGTCTCGATGCGGCCTTTTTATGTGCTTCGGGACACAGTTATTAAAAATTTGATCTTCCAGGAAGCCCCCAAAAGTATTTAAATTGGAATTCGCCTTAAATCTGTTCCGGAATTTCCACCAATTGGCGGGAAAAAGATGGAAGAAAATCAGCAAAATGAAACAAATTACACTCGATTCGTTTGTGTTTTTGTTAAAGCAATTTGTTCGGCATTTTTTTGTGTATGGGTTTTAAATATAATTTGCACTCAACAAATAAATCGTCCGACTCTCCTTTAGTCGACCCTCGTCTCGTCGCTTGCCCCTCTCCATTTAGCCATTGTTCATGACAATAGACGTCTGCGTATGGCTTTTCACTTTAATTGTGTGAAATTATTTTGAAAAAGTGTTCGCGCTCCCCCTCGCTTTTCTCTTTTTGCTTTTGGTTTTTTGTTAACGGTTCGTTTAGCACAAGGCCATATTTATTTGAATGGCAGCCTTTCAATGTCGATTTTTATTGTGCGCGTTATAGTAGACTCAAATTGCCTAGACCAAAGAGATAGAAAGAAAAAGAAAACATTTATTGATGTACACATATTTATGTAGGTATATACAAATGTTCACATATTTTACGAATTTCTTCTGATGAAAAGTCTCTTTGAGTTCTTCTTAAATACAAATTATATTTTTTGCCTCTTGTAGTTTTAATTACTGTATGGGCGAGTCGCAAAACCTCATAATAGTTGAACATTAATTAACTTTCAGTAAGGCCCTAGCTGTTTCGCTGGAAATCCTTGTGCCCCATTAGGTCTATTTACGTCAGAAGTGATTTTAATGAGTTTTTGATATTCCTCCATCCAAGCGGACCCTCCCCAGACACTAGTCTTCTTTTTGCTCCTGTCCATTTCAGAATGGTTTAAAAAATGTCTGGCCTGGACAGAGTTAGCTGTTAAACCGTAAAAAGAAACGCAGAAATATATATGGCCACGTCAGTTGTTGTCAAAGTAATCAGAATGTGGTCAGATAAATACAGGATAAATACAGAATAAAGTGTATCTGTCAGTGGGTGCTCTACTTTAAAAGGTAATTTCTGGTCCTGGCCATTTACCCGTAGCGCCTATTAGGTCTCCCACTCAATGGGATGCGTTTAGTGAAGACACGCAAAAAGTTTAGGAAACACCGCGCCTTGGGTTTTGTTTTTGCTCAGCGCTCGTGGCGTCGTCAACGAAAACAAAAGTCGTCTGCGGCGGAGGCGCCAAAGCGTAAGACATACACACAAACTCGTTCAGTAGGGCACACTCACACACAGCGAGACCCTCAAGGTCCTTGCTACCTCGTCGCTGTTCCTTTTTTTAATTTCTTTAAGAGCTAAGCAGAAATGGCGAAATAAGCATAATTCCAGGCGCCATAAAAACAACAGCACAAGGAACCGCAAGAACAAAATAAATTCACACAATTTGAAAAACGCAAACACTCAACACGCTGTCAGCCAGGGCTCTGGGCCAGACTCCATCTGCTGCTGCTGCTACCGATGCTCCTGCTGCTGCTGTTCCTGCAGCTGTTTAATGGCTTCCCCACCCCCTCTATGGTTGAGGGTGGTTGAAGTGGCCGCCTCGCTTTCCCAGGGCCCCGCTCGAGAATGAATTAAAAAAATTTTACGACTCGACCGCTTGATTTTCAGCACATTGGTAAAATGGTCGAACCGAAGAGAAACTGGAAGAGGGCCATGACCAAAAGAATTTACCGGAGCACACCTTCCCAACACACCACCATCCCATTCCAAGTCCTGTGGCTGTATCCGAACCAGAACCAAAACCCCAAAAGCACCACCAAACCGATCCAACCCGACCCGAAGCGAGTATATAAATGATAACGGGTTTTGGGGTTCGGTTACATCTCTTTCTGAAGATGCGGCCAGTCACGGAGAAATTTATTGATTTTACTAAAATATTTTTATAGATATTTTATGGTTTAATAGATCTTAACTTTATCTAATGATAGCTTTAATTGTTTGATTTATATTACAGTATACTGAATAGGATAGTATATTCTTAACAATTTCCATCATATTTATTGAAGGATACCCTCTGTATATAAACTCTTTGTTCAAGAACATCTTCAACATCCTCGATTCCCAAGTTGTGCTCAAAAGACTCAACGATTTCTTTGTTTCTTGTTTATCTCTTAATTTTTGAGATTTCAGAGAAATTCAGGGAACAAACGCAGCCAAGAGCTTGGGCAGCCGACAGTCAGCTCAAGCTTTTTTTACATCTTTTACGCTTTTCCTTTTGCCGTTTCAGTGGGCCCTAAAGTTTTAATTATTTCATGGCACACTTGAGGGCCCCCTCCTGACCACTCAATGGTCAGCATGTGCGGTAAATGAGGCTAGAAATTCCAGCTAAGAAAACAATTCAATAATTGGCAATCAGAGGGGGAGATGGTAGATAGAGGGGGCTCTTAAGCCTGAAAATTAATATCTAGTTACTTCGATGGCTGCCACGCGAACTCGATAAACAAGCTAATTACTTTCTTCTGCCGCAGCCCCTGCCACTGCTACTGGCACTGGCCCTGTTACTGCTACTGCTCTTTGGCCAGGGGATAATTAGCGGTCAGATGAACTGCGGCCCTGCAAATGAATAAATTGTTACAACGACTGTTGCAGGCGCATCGCTGTAGGTGCAGATACTCAGCGAAAGTACCCGCAACCAATTAACGGTCACATAAGCTGACCCCCGTCCACCGAATGGGTGCCGCGTCGTGTTGCAATTGCAGTTTAATTGAGCAGACATGGAAGCCACACGGGGACAGGGACCGAAACGATTGGAAGGGAAATGGGACGGTGGTGTGCCCAACAAAATGAGACAAAATGTTCGAAGGCTTAAGCACCTCAATAAATTCCATGTGCCTGCGGTGGCGCCTCCCGAATCTGACAAATTATAAGCGAGTTTTTGAGTGGAGCGTGTGGCTGTGTGGCTTCGGCTTGAATTATGCGACAGACCCCGCCAGCCATATTAGAGGTGAGAACGGGAAGTGTGCGCCTCTTCAAAATTCAGTCTATTAAATCAGTTGGGGAAAAGAACTGAACGAATTATTTATGGCACGCATTTAGGCAGTGATAAAATATGATAAATGCCCAAGAATCTGCCAAGATCTGGTACCCAAATGCACCAGTGTCTGTCCCCGAAGAGGCTCCCGTCTGTTGTCTGCCACATGCATAATTTAAGACAAATTGACTATAAATCAAAGTGCTGCTGTACGCCGAAAAGAGCAC